TAGAAAAGAATGCAAGCTTGCCAAGCAAAATCTGTATAATGAAGAGTTAGAACCATTGATTAAAGTGATATAGGTTGAGTTCTGGCTTTCTTTCTAATCCTTTTTTTTTTTTTGTTGTGCAAATTTATGTTTTTTAGAATTTTGAACAAATCAACAAAAATGTATAGATTTGTCTAATGAATACATATACATGTTAAAAAATGTCCTAAATTTCTGCACTCTCTTCCTGTGCCAGTCTTTACTTTATAGGAATTTGCTATTTTCAGTTATGTCCGTGTCATTTTGATGTGTTTTATGTTGCTATTGTAACATGGATTCACATCATGCACCTGTTCATTCTTTCTTATTTTTTCATCTTTTGCAGCTTTCACCTTTACTTTTCTAGTGAAATTGATTTCGGTCTTTTGGGAGTTTGTATTTTGGCTTTTATCTTTTAATCTAGCAGCTTGTATACATTGTTTATCGTCTTATTATTTATTTCTAGTAATGTTATGCTTTCTTGCAGTCCATTGCAGAAGAGTTCTCATTTGCAGTGAGAGATTCACTGATAATGTTGGTCCTAATAAAGGACTTTCTCTTATGTTAAGGATAATGCTGATCAAATGCGGACGTGGAATTTCTAAGCAAAACCCAGTTAATAAATGAACTGGTGGTTCATATTTCCTTCTCAAACCTGAATACACCTTAATTACTATAGGTATAATCCTTTAATAATGAAGACTGATAAACAATGTAAAACAAGCTGCTAAGATTAAAGATAAAAGCCAAAAATACAAACTTCCCAAGAAAGACAGAATCAATTTCACGTGAAAGTAAGGTGGTAAAGGCTGCGCTCAGAAAGATGAAAAATATAAGGTAAGAAAGGGCAATGATCACGAATGGGGTGCAAATTGATGTTGAATCCATGTTATACAATAGGCATATTGAGCAACACACTATGTCAAAATTGACTATCGGGACATACCACAATGAGACAAATTTAACTAAATAAAGTAAGACTTGGGCACTGATGGGAAGGACCAGGGTGATGAATGGTTACCACAGAATTTAGGGACATTTTTGATAGATTGTAAATGGGGTTGATATGATAGTTTCACTTTTATAAAAAAAAATTGTTCATTACATGCTTGTCGTGCTTTGACTATGCATAAAACTTAAAATTTCTCTTGAATTTAATCTGGATAATTCTGGGCCTCTGTCAAGGCTTAGTTTGGTTTGATTTGGTTATTTTGGGATCTTGGTATCATGTTTCCAGAATGCAGAGTATCTTGTCCCAAACAACATGGTTCCTCCTAATACAACTTCATGCCACACAAATGGGGGCAAACAAATACTCACAACCACAACGTTTGCTGAACACTCAAGACAAAAATTTCAAGAAATTTGGATGACTAGGAAGGAATATATCAAGCATCTCCATTCAATTTATTCCCAAGTGAGCACCCAGAACAGAGTTAGTCCACAGCACAATTCACACTACTTTTAGGCTGATCTTAAATTGACTAGGTGAATAAAGATAACCCCTTTTTTTTTCTTTTCTTTTTTTTTTTTTGTGGAGCTGCTGTACAAAAATCACATATGTTGTAAGGACATTGCAGGATTGATGTCCATTGTCCATCATTTATCCCTCACTGGCATCAATTCAGCCTATTCTCTCATCATTTATCCTTTTTTTACTTTTTCTCCTCAATTTATTTTATATATAAATTCAAAAGTAAATAAACTGGTTTACATTATTTTAATTTGGCCCAATGCCAAAAATAAGGTTTAGCTAAGTTAACACTTTTAAAGATCAATAGCATAACCTTAAACCATAGTGCATATGTTTCTAAAATGTTTGTCAAAAAATAAATTCATTCATCAATTCTAACTTCTGAGAAAACAAATCCAGCACCACATGCTCTCTGATCCTTTTCTGCAGTGTTCTTAGTGAACTACAGTACATTTAAATCAAGATGTAGAATCAACAGTTGCACTCAAATATAACATGACCACAAGCATAGCAGCAAAGCAACAAAAGAAAACATGTCATTTTCAAATGAAAAATATATATTAGAATCATCTACAAAGGCACCCGAGGGAAAAGGATTACTGAAAAAGACTTACCTCCCTCGCTGCATCAATAGTTTTGCAAACAAATGTTGAACCAAATACACATTCCATAGCACTCTGCAACACATATAAACTCTCTTTAAAAACAAAATATAACTATCCCAAGCCAAAGTTCTTTTACCCAACCAAAAACAAAATTGCACGAATGTGAATAAGATTTTGGCCCATCCATTGCTGATGAACATGACTTACAATGATATAACATTAAGAAACATTCCAGCACACACAATTGAATTATATCTTCAGCTCCTGATCTATCCAACCAGAGACAGAGCCACTTCTGCATTCCCCTTGCCAACCTGAAAATGTAGGATAATAACCTTCTGACAAACACAAACAAATACGGGAGATACAAAAATATAATGAAAGCCAAATACAGAGACAAACCAATCTAACAGAAGACCAAAAATAGATTGAAAAAATTGAAAATAGTTAGATTGAAAAACAAAAAGATCAAAGTGAATGAGATTCTATTGAAAAGAAAGCGGACCAAAAATAACAAGTGAAAAGATTAAAAAGAGTAAAATTCGAATGAAGAGAGGCCAGATCGAAGATCTGATGGAGCAATAGAGAGAGAGAGGACTTGAGGGATGGTAGCGACGGGAGGACCAGACCTGGGGAGGAGCTTCAACAGGTAGAGCGCATCCAATGCCATCGTGCTTGAGCTTTTCTTGGAACAGAAAAGCCTATCATTTCATCGGTTGGTTTCCTCTTGCTCCGTCTGGATCGGTCTCGATCACGATGATCTTGATCCTTCTTCATTCCTCGATCTCGTAACCCTGCCGATTTGTGCTACTCAACCGAACCATCTTCCTCTACAAAATCATTAGAATCAGAATCAAGAAAACCAAAATGTACGGCAAACACTCTAGATTATGAATTTAAGAACACCCAGTTTCAAAGAAGTGAAAATTTGGGTATCAATCCCTTGCCATAATGTACCATTGGAGTCTCTGCCGCTGTGTCGCCACCCGTCCCTCTTCGTCTCTCTGATTTCAGAACTGAGAGAAAAGAAAAGAGGGGGAGGGAGGGGGGGAGGGAACTATGTTCAAAACAACGTCGTTTGGTAGCACTGCAGAGACCGTGGCAGAGGATCCGGACACAGTGTTAGTGTGGATGGTGATGATGTCAGTGGTGCAGTGATGGTAATGATGATAGGATGTCAATGACAGTGGTGATGGTGTTAGGATTCCTTTGATAACTAAAATTTTTTTTCATTTGACTTCCCAAACATCATAAAATATTTTTAAAATTTTGTTCTTGAAAATACAAAAATAAATTTACCTCTCTTAATACCCCACCCCAATTCTGAAGCTTCTAGGATGGACTGTAATGGTGGGGTTCAGGCTCCCCTTAGAAGTCAGACCAACTCCACCATTTTTCAGAAGAGACATCACTGGACATATGTTCATATATGGCCGCAAGCAGGTTAAAGGACATCATTTACTCTCCTACAATTACCAACTCAGGCAGTAAAGATAAAGAGAGAAAAATAATTAACCTTAAAAATTAAAACATAATAATAATAAGATCATCTGACACCGTCATGGATTAAAAACCCATCCAAAAACTTCAGGTCCACAATCATTTACTACAAGCTCTGATCCTCAACAACCGTGTTGACTAGAGATATCAATACCTGTTGGACGCCTAAAGAATTTTTGTAGAAACAATAATATTAGCTACACCCTTGATGAAAGATTAAAAGCACCAGGGAAATCAATACAGCAGGACTCCAATGTAGATGTCCTGTAAGTTGTAACACTGACGTGTGTGTATGGAAAAGCTAAATTTAGAGAAATCTAGTGTCCGGCATGGACATACTCCCACACCATTAAGGACACCACTTTTCTTCCTAAAAGAAACAGACCTGACTGTTCATGCAGAAGTCATCCTCCATGAGTTGCTTCCGAGCAATATCTTCACACACGACTAACTGTTGCAGGTAGCTCAAGGACAAACCCACAGAATAGATATAGCCTGAGAACTATACTTATCAAAAAACTGATTACGTCATTTAAGCAAAAACATATACGCAAAATAACAAATGGAAGAATCACAAACAGATAAATATTAACTGCAAATCAAAAAGGAGTTCCACCAATCACAATATATCAGTTCACTCAGCCGGGGATAATTGTTTAATATCAAGAAAAGAAGGGAAGGAAAAACTTAAACCAGTTTCCATAATACTTCAAACCTGAAGCTATTCAAGCAGGTCTACCCAAATATTCACATCTTCACGTCGACGCATTTCTAGCACAAAAACATCAAGTAGCCTTCGGATACATGAAAAAACAGCAGTCTTTAAAGAGCCAAACAGACCATACCAAAAGTAGAGATGTGATCAATTAGAGGCCACCCGAACTTTCTACTCCAGTTTAGATGCACCCAATTCATTCTTAGATTTTGACATTACCTGCAAAAAGAGCAACAAAGAGCCTGCATTAATGGAAAGAAGTTGAGATTCGTTGATCCATGACAACTTGGGTCTCTTAGGTTCCTGAGTTCAACACTCATCAATACATCATTCTTAAACTAGAAAAGCAGTTTTTTTTTTTTATTAAAGTCTAGGCATCAGTAGAACCTCATGTTGATGTAGGCAAGCTTCAAATCTTCTCCTATTTCTTTCTGTAGTTCCAGAAAGCCAGATGAACCAAGCCCAATATCTTCAATTTCCAGTGCTTGAATACCTATGCCTAAAAATTTTCCCAAAGGTGCTCCAACTTTGCTGGAGGACAGCAATATCAGAACCAATACTGGAAATGAAATAACAAGAGTGGAAGTCTAAACTCTGTTAGACTAAAACTACATAAGCCAGACTAACCTGCCAAGGCCATTTTCTCCAATAGATAGAGAATCCAGTGGCCTCTTTAAAGTTGAAAGAACACCTACAAGTTGACTCACTCCATTACATGAAAGCTCGCAATTTTCCACTTTCAAATCAGCAAAGTGAGAGTCCCCTTTCAGACATCTCAACAAAGTAGGGGATTAAACTCCTGAAAAGTCCGGAACAAGTTGTAAGACTGACTGAACTGGACAAAACCTTGTCCCAACTCAACAACACAAAAACAACATATCACTATTTTCATTTAAAAAATCAAACTAAAATTTACAAGTGGAAACCAAAAATTTAATCAACCCTTTAAGGACTTAAACCTCTGAATCACAAGGCCTTTGATCCAGATGCTTGAAATTTGTCAACAACCCATATACGGCAAAAACTCTAGATTATGAATTTAAGAACACCCAGTTTCAAAGAAGTGAAAATTTGGGTATCAATCCCTTGCCATAATGTACCATTGGAGTCTCTGCCGCCGTGTCGCCACCCGTCCCTCTTCGTCTCTCTGATTTCAGAACTGAGAGAAAAAAGAAAAGAGGGGGAGGGAGGGGGGAGGGAACTATGTTCAAAACAACGTCGTTTGGTAGCACTACAGAGACCGTGGTAGAGGATCCGGACACTGTGTTAGTGTGGATGGTGATGATGTCAGTGGTGCAGTGATGGTAATGATGATAGGATGTCAATGACAGTGGTGATGGTGTTAGGATTCCTTTGATAACTAAATTTTTTTTTCATTTGACTTCCCAAACATTAGAAAATAGTTTTAAAATTTTGTTCTTGAAAATACAAAAATAAATTTACCTCTCTTAATACCCCACCCCAATTCTGAAGCTTCTAGGATGGACTGTAATGGTGGGGTTCAGGCTCCCCTTAGAAGTCGGACCAACTCCACCATTTTTCAGAAGAGACATCACTGGACATATGTTCATATATGGCCGCAAGCAGGTTAAAGGACATCATTTACTCTCCTACAATTACCAACTCAGGCAGGCAGAATAATTAAGTTCAATGTTATCCACCATCAGCATTCCTCACTTTCAAAGAAAAACTTGGAGAAACAATAAAACAAAATAGCATTATAAGTTTTCAACTGGAATGTATCAAAATAAGAAGTTCCATGCAATTAAACAAGCAAAGCACTTACAAGTTACAATTGCTGATTGCAAGGCTTTTCACTCAAGCCTATGATCTTAAATTCCATGTTGCTGTGCCTTGTCTTAACCGTCATATCTTTTAGCATTTTCTTAGCCTGAACATGTCCAAACAATTACAATTTCAATAGACAAATAATAAAAATAAAATACAGAACAAACTACCAATAAATTACCTTTGCCCAGTCAATATTACGAGGTTCCCGTGCATTCTGATTGGCCAGAAGAAAATCAATCACAGGTCCAGGTGTTAATATCATAGTTGTAGACACATCTGCACAATGAATTGTACACAGCATTAAAAATGGAAAAATCCCTGAAAGAATGATTGCCTCAACAAAAGGTAACCCCTGCATTCAACACCATAAGTTCATTTAGCAAAAAGATAGTAGATGTGGAAACAATAAGAAACACAAACAAAAGGGGAAAGCCGATGGCCTTCCTTGTGGCCTAGTGGCATGGGTGGCAACACTTAGGTGCTTGCAAGGGTGAGGTAAGGGGTTCAATCCCGCAGGGTGCTAACTTTCGCCAATGAAAAAAACAAAAAAACAAAAGAGGAAATGTTAAACAAAAGAGGTAATTATTTCTATATTGTTTCAATATAGACTATCAGTAAAATAGCTCAGTCAATGCATCTTCGAATGACAATTCCCCTGTTTTCTATGATCAATCAAACAAAGGCTAGTTAATTTTCAAGGTCAAATCACCATAAGTTCATTGCAACCCCTGCATTCAACACCATAAGTTCATTTAGCAAAAAGATAGCAGATGTGGAAACAATAAGAAACACAAACAAAAGGGGAAAGCCGATGGCCTTCCTTGTGGCCTAGTGGCATGGGTGGCAGCACTTAGGTGCTTGCAAGGGTGAGGTAAGGGGTTTAATTCCCCTCTTTTCTATGATCAATCAAACAAAGGCTAGTTAATTTTCAAGGTCAAATTGAAGTAAAGATATAAGGAGGCTATTGTACGTTATGTATATAAACTAATACCATGATGATTCATTTCATCATGGGCCATAGATAACTTTTTGTTTGCATACGCCGCTCGCTTGGTCGTATTTCTTTTAATTCTCCATTCTTCATCTGACAAGAAAAAACGATTAATATATTTCAAAAATCTATGTCAAAGATCATGTCCTATAGCATATTACTTCTACAGGCCATAGGATCCCTTTGATAGACCTCATAGTTTGGGAACCATTAAATGTGGTCCAACTCCTTAGAATAAGCCTAATCTATACAAGACAATTAGATTCATCTCTTTAGACCAGTCTTATATGAGACAATGACTGAAAAGAAAATGCTATGGACCATGGTAAAATAGTGAAGCTGATTACAACCTACTTAAATTGCAATTCAACCAACTGAAACTTACCTCAGTTTCACTAGCAGTAGCAGCTACTGAATGAGCTACTTCCATCTTCCTATTTTTTTCAAGGAATGCAGCACGCTACAAAAGATTGTATGGTCAAATATGTGTGTTGTGAAGAACTAAAATACTATCATCAAAATGTTTTAGTTTAATATGAAAATATCAGACAGACAAAACCTCTAATGGATCCATGGCTGCATTTGATTTGTAGAATCTGTCCAAGAAAGACCCTTCAACTGAAAACAAAGAAACACCAAAAGAAATCAGATGTAGATGTACAATATATTCATAACTGATGACTCAAATCATCTCAAAAGCATTTGAAGATCCCCCAAGTCTTTGTATCGTATCTTGTTGTCTACATGAAGCATGTTTCAATGCAGATATAAAAATATGTTCTACCAATATACAAACATAGATTGAAAAAACTGAAAATAATGAGATTGAAAAACAGAAAGATCAAAGTGAATGAGATTCTATTGAAAAGAGAGCAGACCAAAAATAGCAAGTGAAAAGATTAAAAAGAGTACAATTTGACTGAAGAGAGGCCAGATCGAAGAGCAAGGAAGATAGTAAATCATGTGTTTGAGACCAAATCTGAGAGAGAGAGAGAGAGAGAGAGAGAGAGAGAGAGGACGCGACCAGAGAGAGGGTAGCGATGGGAGGACTAACCTTAGGAGGAGCTTCAACAGGTAGGGCGCATCTAACGCCATCGCGCTCGAAACCCAATATTCATGATCTCGTCTCCTCATCTTGCTTCGACTCGACCAGTCTTGGTCCCGATCCCAAACCATGATCTTGATCCTTTTTCATTCCTCGGTCTCTTAACCTCACGTTTGTGCAAATCAACTGGTTCACCTTCCTCTGCAAAATTATCCGAGTCAGAATCAAGAAAAACAAACAATCGTGAAGAAATTTCAACCAAATCAGTTCAACAATCGATGGATTTAGAAAACAATAGAGCGAGAATCGAAATCGAATCTGATGAATCTCTCAAGAAGTATGCGGAGAGACAGAGAAAACCTAGATCTAGGACGAAGAGAGAAAACAATAGATAAAGAACGATAGACGGAAAGAGAAATGGAGACGGAGCACCGTTATAAAGCGAAACGCGTGCTTAAAAGAGGATAATAACGCGTGTTTTTAATTCCACTTTATGCTTTCCACGGCGTTTGTCAAAAAAACGTTGTCTCAAAAACGTGGTTATAGGCAAATTTTGTTGTAGTGATCCATGTGTTGCTCAGTTTTTCAGCACGGATGGTCGCATTGACTCTCTGAATTTGTTCCTTTTTGCTACTACTCTTTCCAACATAGACCATCTCTAGAGGGATGCGCGCATCTTGTCCAACATGCCTTGCTGTGGTTGTCAATCTTCTTATCCATTCCATGTCATTCCCTCCATACACCAAAATGTATCTTCCATCTGCAATCTAGCATAATAAAAAGAGACGTCCATTCCAATCACATTACTATGTTAGTTACTTAGTCAGTTAT